ATCGCGTCAGCCTTGGCCGGATCGCTGGGAACCGCGCGTTCGTTCAACAGCCACGCAGCTGTCAAAAGCGGGGAGATCTTAACCTCGTTATAACTTAAGTGCCTAAACTGCAACCCCCTCCCTTCCTGTCTGATTGTGACTGTTCATTCTCTTGTCAAGGCAGTACAAAAAAAAAAAAAGAAGTCGATGAGGTCAGCTTTTGTGGCCTGAAATTTGATATATTTAATAAAAGTGCATTCTGCCAAAATGGCTTAATCTGGTGCACCTGTAGATTTGTCATGGGTTAAGGTCAGGGTGCAAAGGCTGAATTAAGGTTGTAATGCAGACATGTTAAGGTTTCAAAATCTAGGTTTTCACAGCAGATCATTCTTATTCCATCAGAGTGGCCTGGGTCTGGGCCCAAAGACAAACAGTTAGATACTAGAGCAGTTGTAGACCATGAAACAATTCTCGTCTCCTTTCTAAGTACAAACCATTTCTCCCAAAAGCAGAACGTTTTATCCATCTTTACTGTATGAATATTTGTACACTGGTAAATGCAGTGCGTTACTGCACCGCACAGCAGAGCACCACACACCGCAGGCCCGGCTCCTCTTTCAGGAGCCTTCACACGTTTCTGTGGAGGGCATCCTCTACCTCCTGCTGCCGGAACAGAGCATAGGCGTCCTCTCAGGCGCAAAGTCACAGTCACCGGCGCTGCCGCAGTGATGTAATTATGTGTCAGAAGCGTGCAGGGGCGGTAGGGGTCTTGCACAAAAATACACTCATTCACACTGGGTCCCAGCGGTTGGATGTGTGACCTGTGACCCCAGCACAGACACACCTGCAGGAGATGTTCAGTGTAGCGTAGATTAATGTGGTTTTAAAAACCTGCACTGAGCTTCCCTCCTTTGAGCATAGTGATATTGCTGTTTTTTAGGCAGAAAAAAAAAACAAAAAAAATCAGATCTTGTTGTGTAGGACAGAGTGTATGGCTTTTTTACGAGATATGTGCTTGTTTTCTGTTTGTGTGTGTATTGGGGGGAAAGGGGTCTTATATAGAGAGCTTTTCTGTACTCCATTTGGTTTTTTGCTCTTTTGCTCTTTTTATACATTTACATTTATTTATTTATTTGGCAGACGCTTTTATCCAAAGCGACTTACATAGGTTACAGTTCTTTTACAATGTTACCCATTTATACAGCTGGATATTTTACTGAGGCAATTGTGGGTTAAGTACCTTGCCCAAGGGTACAAGCAGCAGTGTCCTAGCGGGGATCGAACCGGCAACCTTTCGGTTACAGTTCCTGCTCCTTAACCACTGTGCTACACTGCCGCCATTATACCAAATCATTATTATCATAGTACATCAAGCACAATGTGCGTGTGAGTATAAGAGCGTGTGTGTGTTGGTGCCAGGTGCCGGGATGGTGTGGATTAGTACTGTGGCTGTCACCTCTTGGCTGTCTGCAGAGCAGGACTCAGCTCAAACAGGTGTGGACAGTCTGATCCCTGCTATTGATTGTGTCTCAGCTTGGCGCTCTCTCTGGGGCTGGAGATGAACTGCTGACTGCGAGCAATCAGGCTCTGCCACCTCAATCCAATTACTGCTCCTAGCCTGCGCCACACACAAACACATGCTCACACACATACCCATTCACACACACAGTTGTATACTGACACGCACACATACTCACACACATACCCATTCACACACACACACGCACACATGTACATGAACAGACGCACGTGTGAACGCGCAGACGTGCACACGCACACTGATAGACTCCCATACGCTCTTCAAAACAGGAAAAGGCACTGGCTAAACCAAATGCAAAATACCTTGTCTGAGATCTGCCATGTTTTTAGGTTCATTACACCTAAAATACTATGCATATTGTAGTGCATTTATCATTAAATAGGGTATGCATAATTCGCTCTATGCCAGTCATCAGTTGATGTCTTATTATTAGTGTTATTGTTAATAATATTTTATGTAGTTATTTCTATGCATAATACTATCACTATGGCAAACGGCATGTGAAGCTGGAGCTCTTCACTTTGTCTAGGAGCTTGAAAGACTTGTGCCTCTGAGGTGATGCAGTATTTTGTAGTATGTGTATCTCCCTTTTCCTCTCCCTCCGTCACTCTCTGACGCTGCACCCTTACTGTAGATTTGTGGTATTCTCCCTCAGCCTGTAATTGGTGAATGCGGAAAAAAAGTTGACTTGATTTAGGGGCGGAGACGAGGAGATTCGTTCTTCCTCGATCTGAGCAGCAAGTCGAGAGCTACAACGGCTGGTCCGCCCCTCGCCCAAACCCAAACCCTCTCCGGCGGCCACTTTATTTTATGCGCGTATGCAGGGAAGCAATTATACCGACTTACATCGCGCCCCAAAGAACCTGAAGTGCGCCAGACTGCGCTAGGACACGAGAACTCTGTTCACTACAATAACAGTCTTTTCCGGTTGTTCCTTTCGTGCTCTTTTTCATAAATTATTGCGAAGACAAATATTTGACGGAAAATCCAATAGAGAGCTACTGTTGGCCGGGGGTAAACACGGCTCGGTCCTCCTGTTCAACCCACCTGTTCCCCCCGGCACGGATTCAGCAGCTCAAACAAACCCTCCTGGAAGCTGCCCAGAGAGGGCCTATTCCGCCAAAGGTTTCAGCTAGCGGTTCTCATATAAATCATGTCTCTCATCTGCTGGCTGCGCTGCGCATAAATTAATGTCTGTATAAATCGAATGGCCTCCTCTTCTCTCGTGCGTCTTCGGTATGCAGCGGTACATTCAGATCTGGTGCAAATACTGTATTTGTCATTTGCTCTCCCGTAACCTTTGGTGAAGCTGCCGTCACCTGTTAAAGTCCCTGATACCATGGTGGTATGCAGTCTTGCGTGCCTTACGTAACACCTTCAAGAAATATGACATAAGCGTTCATAGACATTCTCCCTCAGCAGTACACTGTATGAAGGAGTGAAATAGAGGCACAGTAATGCTCACGCAAATAATCCATGCATAAAGCTGCGGACTGTCTTCCTCTGACAAGCTGTGATGAGAAGGAGGACGTTTCTGCCTGGCTCTTTGAACACTGGCCAGCAGGGGCTCCTGCTGTCGTTCCGTTAGCATTAAAAACACATTAATCCCCTAAGGCGAAGATTCGATGTATTGCTCAAGGACAGTTGTTTATGGTTTGATGAGTGTTACTTCAGGTGCGGTTGTAGACGTGCCTCCTGCTGCAAGCAGCACTGAGCAGAGATGGAACAGGAGTTCATCCACCATGCCGGCTGTGTAGCGCCACGCGTGCCGTTTTATCTCCGCTCTGTGCCTCTGTGCGTTTGATGTATGCTGTGAAGCGAGTGATGAAGCAAGGGATGTTTCCTTCGCTTAATAGAATTGATGGTGTGGTGGTACGGCAGCCATCTTGAGAGCCAGAAGGGGCCTGATATTCGGAATCTCCCCTTCGGTGTCAGGCTGGAGAACAAGGTTATCAGAGGGTGCCGGAGAGATGAACCGCTCTCAGAAATGAGCACATCTGCATGTACCACAGTGACAGCGGAAGAAATTACTGGACATATTCATCATCATAAAATGTGCCTCTGTTTTTAATAGGTGTGTTTTTACTTTACACTTTCTGCTGTGATCCAAGAAAAAAATGTGCTTTGTTATTATGCAGTACAGTGTGAACAATTATGTGAGATGTGGTCCTTCAGTTCAGGCAAAAAGCACAGAAGTCAGCTGGAAATTCCTATCTTCTCATGCAAATGTGGTGAATATTCACCTTAAATAGCTGAGTGTTGACTGTTGTTTGTTCCTCTTTCATTCTTGGTTTTCACGGATTTCACACCACTGCATTTGTTAATGCTGTTTTATTTTAAAACTGTTTCAGCATACAGTTACAGAAGTCTTCTAAACTTCAAAACATGTTTGCAGAGCAAGGGCACGGTGTACATTAATTCTAATTCTGTCTTTGCTCTTAATGCACCTTTTCCTGTAAACTAAGCCAAGCGTATTCAGTGAAATGAAGATATGAATTGTTGCTCTAATTCTATTTGATTTGCACAGTATCCATTGTATCCATTTCCCTAGGACTGCTTTTCAGAAACTCTTCCCCTTGTTGTTGCTCATTTCTAACAATGCCAATCCTTGTGTACCAAACTGAGATCCATGTAATGTCTTCTGTTTTGCTGTTTGTGCTCTTGCCCCAGGTTTATGGATTGGGTGCCATGAGGATCTGCCCCAAAGCCCGCCCCCTGTTGCTCCTCCCCCTGCTGAAACCGGCAGCCCTGCACAGGTGTCCCAGCCATGTCAGGGCCAGTCCCTGTGCGCAGGCTCACAGACTCCTCCCCTACAGGGGCGTGGCCACCGAAGGCCCCGCCTCGCACCCCAGTGGACAGCGCGACTCTGTGGAGGTGCTGGGGCAGCTCTTCCGCCGGGACAGCTACACCAACGTCACAGCCAAGATCCTGTCCAAGGTGGGGCGCAACCTGCACAGCCAGGCGCACCACCCGCTGTGGCTCCTCAAAGAGCGCATCAAGGCCCACTTCTACGGGGCCTTCGTGGGCCGCAGGGGGAACCCCCTCTTCTCCGTCTACGACAACCTCAGCCCCGTGGTGACGGTGGAGCAGAACTTCGACAGCCTCCTCATCCCAGCGGACCACGCCAGCAGGAAGAAGGGGGACAACTACTACCTCAACCGGGGGCACATGCTGCGGGCGCACACCTCGGCCCACCAGAGCGACCTCATACTCTGCGGCCTGGACGCCTTCCTGGTCGTGGGCGACGTGTACCGGCGGGACGAGATCGACGCCAGCCACTACCCCGTCTTCCACCAAATGGAGGGCGTCCGGCTCTTCTCCAACCACGAGGTGAGGACGGCGCCGGCCTGTACCGCAGCAACACTTCCCTTCTCTGAGTGCTCTCCACGCTCCTTTTTGTTACGGTTACAGTTACGGGTATTCATTTAGCAGACGCTTTTATCCAAAGCCACTTACAGTACATTGGAGGTATACATTTCGCTATTACGTGTCGGAATCGAGCCCGTAATCTTGGCATCGCTCGTGCCATGCTCTACCAGTTGAGCCATAGGAACAGTTTCAGGAACAGTCCCATCACCTGAGACCCACCTGAGAGCACAGTCAGCTAAATAATTTCACATAATTCAACCCCAGCCACAGAGCAGTGAGAGACAAATCACACCAGCGTTATCCTAATGACCCAAAGCGTGCGGGGCTCTTACCTGGCCCCGTGGCCCGTCTGTCCTCCAGCTGTTTGGGCGTGTGGAGCATGGTGAGGACCTGTGCCTGTTCGAGAGCGGCGGCCGTCGCACCCCCCAGAAGCAAGAGACGCACACCCTGGAGGCGGTCAAGCTGGTGGAGTTCGACCTGAAGCAGACCCTCACGCGCCTCATGAAGCACCTGTTCGGAGAAGGTGCGCGCCGCCAGGGCCCCCGCACACTGCTCCGCCCCCCTCGCCCCTCTGTCCCCCTCCCCCCGACATCTGCCCGATGTCTTATTTCTTTCTTTCTCTCTGTCGTCCGATATTACTTCTGTTTCTCCTGCTATTTACACAGATTGTGTTGGAGCCGAAACATCAATGTGTGGCCTCCGTTTATGCGTTTCTGTGGGAAAACAAGGTTATTGAGACATTAATAACCTTTCATTCAATTCCGACCACTGCGCTCATAAACAGATGGCTTAAACAGGATTTTGTGGGCAAGTTATTCAGACAGTGGATGCTCAGCATCATTTTGTTCGGGGAATGCTTATGCAGAGAGACATAAAAAGGCAGCCATTATAAAACAGCTCATCGTACAGATACCATTTTCAGGAAGTTACATTACATTATATTGTAGTGTAATAGATGACTATTGATCTTCAGGCCTGCATGTCCTCCACATATTCTTTTATTATGGGTTTTCTTTATTATTTATACATTTGTTTATTTTCTATGCTCTTATTTTCTTTTTTGGAATTGTCAGTTTTATGTTAGGCTCATCTCACTGTAGGACTGTAGCACTTCAGAGGACTGTAGCACTTCAACTGCAACTCATCAGTACAGTTGCACACCAACATTACACGACTATTTTTCACACTACAACTCCCATAGTGCATCAGGAGAACAAGTTTGTTTCAATGATGACGTTAAATTGATTGCCCAACCTTCAACTGCTTTCAGACTGTTAGTATGGAAAAGCCACAGGTACACATAGTTCCTCAGGTCACTAGTTCTCCTCAGGTCACTGTCCGCTCGTAACCCCACACGGGGGGGACACTCGGCATCCTCAGCCCGGGTGTGACACGTTACCGGTCTGACTCCACCTTTATTCTCCCCATCCCCTGGGGGAGCGAGAGGCGAGATTAATTGACTTTCTGAGGGAGAGTTACACAAATCTCCTCCGATATTGGAAACGACATCGCCGTCCTTCCCCCGAACTTTGCAGATTTATCGCCCGCGACGGAAAACATTGAGAGCGGGCTCCCGTGATTTATCTGCTGGCCTTCCACACCCACGGCTTCACCGTGAGGCCGCGGAGCAGGCAGCGTGGAGGGAGACGTCTCCCAGCTACTCACCCGTACGTGCAGCCCCACAGACTCCCCTGTGTTTACGCTCACACTGGATATTCATTTTCTTAATTGTCTTTCTCTCTTGAGCCTCTCCTTACATCCCCTTTTCCAGCCTGTTTCCTCTGCCTCTTCCCCCTCTTCCCTGATGGTGCTGGAGAAATGGCACGCCAGTAATGGCAGTAAGGCTGTGACTCTGGCCGTCTGACTGAAGGACAGTGCGGTGTCTCCCCTGACAGACCTGGAGACCCGCTGGGTGGAGTGCTACTTCCCCTTCACCCACCCCTCATACGAGATGGAGGTGCGTTTCCAGGGCAACTGGCTGGAGGTGCTGGGCTGTGGGGTGATGGAGCAGGAGCTGGTAAACTCAGGTATGCCCCCAACCCCGCTGCGAAGGATCTCTGGATCACTGTGTGCATGTTTACAGGCATTTGTAAGCGCATACACACCGCCAGCGGCCCAGGAGAGCCCAGGCAGGACACAGACACCTGTAAATATTTCATGTATTTCACTTTCACATGTAGGTCTATTATTTCCAAATATTTTATCCCCTGGGCTTTTAATAACCATCTGACAAAAAGGGTGAAATATGACAAAGGAAGTGCTCACCAGAGAGGCAAGTGAGGTTAGAGTGCTGTACCATAGCTCATATATGCAGCGAAGCCCCACTTCCTGCCTCTGCCAGCAGATGGCAGTGTTGTGCAGCACAGAGGGAGGTGGTGCCCTTGTGGGGCAGGACCTGACAGCTGGAGAATAAGGGGAAAGAGACCGGGGCCTCACACAGGGAGGGGCAGGCTCAGCAGTTGAGAGGCTGAGGTCTTCAAAGGCAAGATGACCCGCACAGCTTCAACATCCACACAATGATCCACACTGCAGCAGCAGCCTAACAGGCCCTGATTAGCACTCGGACCGTTTACCCAAGCAGATCTGAACATGAAATCGACTCATAGTGGCTGCTATAGAATTGCCTGTGCATTAAACACACGGACACCAGCCTTCTGTATTATTGCATCATTGCCCCGATTTGCGAAGAATCTCTGAATTATTTAAAGCCCTAAGCCTAGAACAAGTGCAGCATTTTGACACTGCGGGGGCAGGTGCGTGCTATTGAGCCGCTCTCGTGCATTGATGATAGGAAGGTACTGCAATATTAATAGAGTGCTGGAGTTATATGTTGGCATCAAATTCGCTGTGTTCCAGCGTCACCTATGTCTGAATCAGAAATTAAATCTCAGACCTTGAGTCGCACGATGGCAACTGCTGCGTTCTCAGTACGACAGTGGCAAGGGCAGACTGTGCAACTGTCTGCACACGCAAACACCAAGAGAGCTCGGTTGGTGTGCCGGCTGCCTTGCACAGTGACGTGACAGCGATTACTCTTACCCATAATAAAGTCCCCTTTTTTGTGTGCACATTAAAAGAGGCAGTTGAACTTGATCGAGCTTGAGTTTCTCAGCGGGCGCTTGTTTAGCCTGCTGGTTTCTTTTCAGCTCTCCGGTGCGCTGGTACTTTGAGCCAATCAGGCACATAGCATCCGGGACCTCTTTGGTGCAGTCCTCCTGCAACCTCTTTTGTCGTGCATCTGTCTGGAGCACCTTCCTAGATCCAGTAACTATTTTCGTCAGGCACGTGGAGCTGCTGCCGGTGTGCCGTGTCAAGCCGCTTTCCAGAAGCGTACCTTTACTGAAATAGTAGTATCTTTTTCTAGGTCAGGGAAAGCGTCCTCCATTATTGAGGTGAAGGATAGTTTCCCGCATTAGTCTTGAGCAGAATTTGCAGGGTGGAGCCCTAGTGTGCCCCTTCAGTTTGGGAAGTGGCATCGGGGTTCAAAACATCATAAAGTCCACAAACGCATGAAAATGCCCAACCCAAACCTTTTCCATTACTCTGTAAATAACTGAAGAAAGGGATAATGATAGTGGTAATGAAGCAGTGTGAGGAGGAAGAAGAGAAAGAAGAGTGGTTACTGTAGCAATAGTATTTGTAGTTACAATAGTACTAGCAGCAGTCATAGAAATGTATCAGTAGTAGAGGTGGCAGTAGCAGCAGTAATAGTGGTGTATCAGTAGTAGAGGTGGCAGTAGCAGCAGTAATAGTGGTGTATCAGTAGTAGAGGTGACAGTAGCAGCAGTAATAGTGTATGTATCAGTAGTAGAGGTGGCAGTAGCAGCAGTAATAGTGGTGTATCAGTAATAGAGGTGGCAGTAGCAGCAGTAATAGTGGTGTATCAGTAGTAGAGGTGGCAGTAGCAGCAGTAATAGTGGTGTATCAGTAGTAGAGGTGGCAGTAGCAGCAGTAATAGTGGTGTATCAGTAATAGAGGTGGCAGTAGCAGCAGTAATAGTGTATGTATCAGTAGTAGAGGTGGCAGTAGCAGCAGTAATAGCTGTCACTGTACCTTCACCAGCAGTGTGAGGACATCCTCATTAAGCCTTTAGCGAGACTCCCTCCTCTTGGGCCCCGTGTATCCGTCTGGCAGAAAGGCGTGTGCAGACAACTTTCGGCTCCCTCTGGCCATCTCTCCTTCCTGTGCGCGATGAAAAATTAATCCCTTTTAGCTGAAGCACTTAAGACGAAGAAGAGGAGCGTTCCTTTCGACTGCGGGGTGAATTGCCCGCGCCAGGGAGTGCACCCGGGAACGGCGCCTGGCTGCATGGCTGCATGTGTGGAAAGGCAGCAGCTCCATCGTCGCCTGTGATCCTGGGTGCGGTGGCCTCCCAAAGCATCGCAGGGTGCCAATCAGCCTGTACACAGTGACAGACTTCAGCCACACCCGCCAGCTACACAGCATGCCCCACAGCAGAGCTCTGAGAGAAGGATCATTTCTCGGTAGTTCACATTCATCCTTCTGTCGTCCCCATCTTTGCTTCCTTCTGTCCTCTGTCAGGTGACAATAAGCCCTACCAGTAACAGCAACGTTCTGTGTCAGTAGGCACTCTGGGAGCACAGTGTCTCCCTGCCTGTCCCTGTCTCTTGTAGGTTGAAGTGTCAGTGTAAGGGTTAGAGTCTGTCTTAGCTCAGTTTCAGTGCAGCACCACACCTCTCCCCTGTTCAGTGTCAGTTCTGGGTATTGTTGATTGTTCCTTAACATCGCCACTGCTGTTTCAGTGCAAGTGTCATGTGCGTTTTTGCTGGAAAGCATTACCTTATATGATTAGTGTCAACACTCGCTTTTTTATCGCTGAAGTGCAGGCAGGGGATCCAGGTATGCTCATGAGGAGCCTCCTGACTTTGCTGGCGATGCATGGTGCAGTTTCGTGTGACATGTTTCCTGAGCGCACTGCACCAATGTCACTGCGCTCTTGTCAGCTGGCTTTGTGCAAAGAGTCGCCTGTGTATGCAGACTGCATACCTGCACCGGGACTTGCCAGCTTAGCCCCCGAGATTGATTTGCTGGGTGGTTTGTCGGAGGGAATACCCTAACTTCCATCTTCCTTCACCCCCTCCCCACCCCCTCCCTTTCCCTCTTTCACTCTCACTCTCCCTCCCCCCTCTCACACTTACACTCTCCCCCTCTCCGCAGAGTGCTG